TTGAGTTTATGAAATTACAACTCAAATAGTTGGTTAAATCTAACTTTTAAATCCTAAACTCAACATAATCAGTTATTGTTATGTACCCAAAATGAACTAAATGTTGTTGATTATGTTGGGCTAATTGGTGGGGAAATTTAGCATTTAGGGTTATGTTTCGAGGGTTTAGGGTTGCTACTTCAAGTTTAATTTGTTATGGCAAATTTTGAAAATGGATTATGAATTTAGGGTTGGGCATATAATTGTAGTATTTTTAGAATTGAGGTTTAGAAAGTAATTGAAGCATTTTAGAATTTAGGATTTAGAATGTAATTGATGATTGTTTTGCAAGTTTTAAAAGTTGGGAGACCTAAATGCTAGCGCTTAAAAAGTTCAGTTGCCATTTATATAATTTACCCTAACGACAGTGAAACGGATGTTATGTCAGGGACCATATTGCAAATGAACTAAATGTTTGGTAATTTTATTGCAAATTTTAAAAGTTAAGGGACATAAATACAAGTATCTGAAAAGTTCGGTGACTATTTATATACTTTACCCTAACATAACACTATGTGCTCACACTCTTTATCAATTTCTGAATTTCAAGCTTGTGAAAATAACGGGAGGGTATTTCAGTCTTTTTCAATAGATAACGATCACCCCTGAGGTGACCCTCACTTGGAGAAGCAGTTGGGGTAAGGAATTATCTTAATTATTATTTTAATGATTTAAAAGCATGTTTAGCCGGAAAATGTTCAATGCAAGTACATTAAAACAAATAAATAATCATTTTGAGAATATTTTTTCTCATTGGTCGAGAAAAACGTGAATACTTAATCATTAATTTTTGTTTTGGATTTAATTTGTTCCGTATATATTTTAGGGTAAAGTATATAAATGGTCATAGAACTTTTAAGATGCTTTCATTTAGGTCCCCAAACTTTTAAAACTTTCAATATAGTCACCAAACATTTAGTTCATTACAATATGGTCCCGACGTTACTGTTGTTTCAATGTCGTTAGGGTAAATTATATAAATGGTCACTAAACTTTTAGGTGCTTGCATTTAGGTCCCCTAACTTTTAAAACTTGCAATACGATCATCAATTACATTTTAAACCCAAAATCCAAAATGCTTCAATTACATTATAAACCTCAAATTCCAAAATACTTCAATTACATGTCTAACCCCAAATTCATAACCCATTTTCAAAATCTATCATAACAAACTAAGCAAGCCTAAACCCTTAAAACATAATCATTTCGGGGAAAAATTAATCAACTATAAGTGAACAATAAGTGATTATGTTGGGTTTAGGGTTTAGAGTTATGTTGGACATAAATACTCAATTCAGTTTATAAAATAGTTGGTTAATTTTTTTTCCGATTTGAGTTTATAAAATTTAAATCAAGTCGAATTGAATTGAATTTTCGAGTTTCTATTTAAATTTAATTATAAATATTTATTATATTATAATATTATTTGATTCCAATTTAAATAGTTTTTTAACCATACAATACATATATTCTTCATAATTTTTCCATATGTGATATACATATATCATACAAAGTCAAGGGACTTGACTCAAACTTAAAAATTAATCTACTAATTACTAAAAAAATTGAGATATTCGAGTTGTAAAATATAACTAGATTTTAACTTGAAATTTTTTTAAGTTGAGTTTATGAAATTACAACTCGAAGTCAATTTGTATCAAATTTTTTGAATCAATTCAAGTCGAAAAATAATTTTTTCGAATCGAATTTAGTATTGTTCACTTATAGTTGGTTAAATCTAACTTTTAAATCCTAAACTCAACATAATCACTTATTGTTATGGACCCAAAATGAACTAAATGTTGTTGATTATGTTGGTTAATTGGTGGGGAAATTTAGCATTTAGGGTTAGTTTTGAGGGTTTAGGGTTGCTATTTCAAGTTTAATTTGTTATGGTAGATTTTGAAAATGAATTATGAATTTGGGGTTGGGCATGTAATTGAAGTATTTTTGGAATTTGAGGTTTAGAAAGTAATTGAAGCATTTTAGAATTTAGGGTTTAGAATGTAATTGATGACTATTTTGCAAGTTTTAAAAGTTGGGGGACGTAAATGCATGCGCTTAAAAAGTTCAGTTACCATTTATATAATTGACCCTAATGGCAGTGAAACGGATGTTATGTCGGGGATCATATTGCAAACGAACTAAATGTTTGGTGACTTTATTGCAAGTTTTAAAAGTTAATGGAGCTAAATGTAAGCATCTGAAAAGTTCGATGACTATTTATATACTTTACCCTATATTTTATTAAATTCATTTTTGTTTTACTAACCAATAGTTAAGTTTCATAGTTACATCATAAGAACGTATTCGTTTCATTAAATATTGATTAAGGTGGTATTTTATAAAATTATAAGAGCTAATTATATCACACGTCTTCCAATTATGATTTTTATATTAAATTTGTTTTCATAAATTTTAAATATTTTAATTTTATCTCTAAACTATAACTCTCATTTTAAATCAATCCTTAAACCTTTTAACATTTTGATTTTATCCTCAAACTATAACTCTAGAATTGGTCCCAAAACTTTTGAATGTTTTAATTTCATCCCAAGCTATTGATACATACTAATCACATCACTTTCTAATAAATCTCCAGGATAAACTATATTATTATATGGTTGTAAAAATTAAGTTAAACTATGGTAAAACTAATTACAGAAGTGGATGAATTTTGAGATAAAATTTGAAGGTTTGGAACATTATGAACCAATTTAGACTGATGGTCAAAGTTTGAGAATGAAATTACAATGTTTAAAAGTTAAGGACTAATTTAAAATGAGTGTCACATTTCGAATATGAAACTGAAATATTCAAAAATTTGAAGACCAATTTAAAATGAATGTCATAATCTCATAGATGTGCGATACAATTGACTCAAACTATAATCCATATTTTATATGAAGGTCATGATTTATGAAGTTGGAATACCCTTGAATCATGAAAGTTTTCTTTGACTACTACGATATTGACGTGTTGGTTCATGATGATGTTATGGTAGTTTACGATTTTGATGTGTGATTCATGGTATTGACGTTACGACTTATGTATGAAAGATGAGGTGAAAGAGAGATTTAATTGATTTTTTTTTAGAAAGCTTGATGATTTATTTAGCATTCAACCATAATTTTAAAAATTTTAAATTATTTGAAGTATAGACTATTAAAAAATAAAGATTGTTAAAATATTAAAAACATTACCCAAAAATATATATGTTATTAAAATTAGGATAAATTACATCAGATATCACTTATATTTAAGCGATGTATTGTTTATACCACTAAACTTTTAGTTTTGTCAATTATAACATTGAACTTTGATTTTCGTTTCAATTATACCACTGAACCGTTAACTTGTTAACGACAATATGATGTGGTTGACGTCTATTGAAGTAGACACCTCACCAAAACGACTTCGTTTTGAACAGTCTGTTAACAATCTAACGAGCCAATGGTATAATTGAAACGAAAATCAAAGTTCAGTGTTATAATTGGCAAAATTGAAAGTTCAGTGGTATAATCGACATCACCTAAAGTTCGATGGCATTTGGTGTAGTTTATCCTTAAAATTATAAAAAAATAATATAAATTGATGAATTAAAAATTATTATAAAAATTATTTTATAAATTCAACTACAAATTCAAATAAAAGATAGATACAAATAGATCTAATTAGAGATGGGCATGGGACCCGAACCCGATGGATTTCGACCCGACCCGACCTGATCGAGTTGGATTTTTTTTAAAATCGGGTTCATATCCTGGTCGGGTCGGGTTTTTTTTAAAGGTGATGTTCGGGTCGGGTCAATTCAAGTTTAGGGTGAAAAAACCCGACCCGAAAAAAATATAATTTTACCTTATATATTTATGAATAATTATAATAATATCCCTCTATATATATTATTTTTTCAATTAAATCATTGTTTTTATTGAATAAAAATAATGTTTTTTATTATTTTAGGTCGGTTTGGATTGGGATCAAATTTTATCTCAAAAAATTGGGTCGGGTCGGTTGAAGGATGTAAAATTTTCGGGTCGAGTTGACCGATACTCGACCCATGCCCATCCCTAGATCTAGTTGCACCGGTAAACAAACCATAAAAAATTAAACTATTGAAAAACCATAAATAGAGTCGAACAACATAGAAAAACTATATATACAAGAACATAAACCACATATTAAGTCTAATTCAAATATCCAAAACATGAAAGATCAACTTAATAAAAAAATAAGTACCATATTAATTTTTTATTAAGCTAAAATGATTATAAAGTAGTATATGTTATAAATACTCTCAATTATTGGACAATGAACGCTCAATCACCCTGTTGTAATCGTTGATACTCGAAACTATGACCTGTAGGAACAACAATAAGTTTTTTAACCAATTAAATAAGTTGCTTCATGCAAGTGTCTTATAAATTAAAACCTAAATTTGTAATTGTTATTTAGTAGATCTCATTGATATATGTTGTTGATGTTACCAAATACATGCATGATACATGCATTTACAATCATAATTAATGCTTCAAAAGTATTGATAAAAAAAAAGTTAAGTCCAATCCATTGGATCGATTAGTTCATTTAATTATCATTTTAGGTTATGTTCACAATTTATATTCATTTTATCTGAATAATTATAATTATAAAAAATATTAGATTGAAATTATATTGTATTAAACCATCAATTTCCCATTCCAAGTCTTCCAGTAAATCGATTTCAACAACAGTGTTTGAAAGTTGAAACTATCCACCAAGTGCCTTACAACCCACGCTTCTTTCCTCCCTAAAAACCCAGTATTTATGGCCTTGTTGCTCGCACCACTTCCTTTTCTTCTTAACACCATTGCCACCACCTTGTTTGTTCATTGCTTTCTTCGTCTCGCGATCATTGGGTTTCTTTAATTTTCTTCATTTAGTGTAGTTTAGATCATCAAATCGGGCACTAAAGGAAGGGTTTTTGAGGGTTTGGAATGGAGAACATTTATAGCTTCAGGAACGAAGATGTTCGACTGGAATTGCCTCCGGGATTTCGATTCCACCCAACCGATGAAGAGTTGATAACTCACTACCTTTCCAAGAAGGTTCTCAACAGCTTATACTCTTGTATCGCCATTGGTGAGGTTGATTTGAACAAGTGTGAGCCTTGGGATTTGCCTTGTAAGTTTCTCTCGTCTTCTTAATTCCATCTTTCATAAACGTAGATTTTGATTCTGGCTCACTCTTTTGCTCTCCATGTGTTCGTTGAAATGAAAAAAGGGAGAGCCAAAATGGGGGAGAAAGAGTGGTATTTTTTCTGCTTTAGGGACCGGAAATATCCGACTGGACTGAGAACAAACAGGGCGACCGATGCCGGTTACTGGAAAGCCACAGGCAAAGATAAAGACATTTTCAAAGGGAAATCACTTGTTGGGATGAAGAAAACTTTGGTTTTCTACAAAGGGAGAGCACCCAAAGGTGGAAAAACCAATTGGGTCATGCATGAATTTCGTTTGGAAGGCCAATTTTCCATTTTCAATCTCCCCAAAACAGCCAAGGTTATCACCTCTCTGTTTTCCTCTGTATCCGATTTCCCACACTCGTGGATTTAAATTACAGTTGCAGTTACATTTTCATTTATATGTAAATATACTGATGTTATTATAGTCGATACGAATAACTGGATCGTACAATAACGATTTCAGAATATCTGTTACCTTTATATATTGCAGGTGTCCCTTCAATGGTTTATTCACTTTTTTTTTTTTAATTTGTTTCCTTTTCAGAACGACTGGGTTATTTGTAGAGTATTCCAAAAGAGTCCCAACGGAAAGAAAATACACATTTCAGGTTTGCCTTCATTAGTGGACTCCTCACCGCCTCGCAACAGCGAAACCAGAGCCGTCGTCATCGGCGAGACGTCAAACGTGACCTGCTTCTCCGACCCGATGGACGACTGTAAAGCACTGGATGAAATGATTGATAGCTTCGACGCTTGCCTCCTACCTTCTTCATCATCCTCTGCAAATTCTCTGCACAACTCCTCATATATCACCACCAAGGCCAACCAAACCAACCCGAACATCGGAAACTTGCAGTATCCGGATTATTTTTGGGTTCAAGATCAGTCTGTATTGAGGATTCTAATCCAAAGTCGTGATTCGAAGCCAGATATTTCCCAGGATTCAGCCGAAATGATTCAAGATCCTTCATGTGCTGCAGGACCGGTAGGCCTGGGTAATTGCTTCTGGGATTATTGAATTTGAAGCTAAACAGCAGAAAGAATCAAAGAGTTCTACATAGATTGGAAGAGTTTCAAGATTCAAGAATCTTACTGTCATATAGATTTGTGTGTGAATAGATTGATTTCTCAACATCAGTAGGAAAGTAAAGAAGAATGTGTTGTGTGTAGTTAAAAAAAAACTTTGTTTAAGGTTTTCATTGCCATTGTAGATTTTCACTATCATGTTGGCATGCCAAATTTGTTTTTAGACAAAACTACTGTAAATTTTAGTCAATTTTATTCGAATTTTTAATGAGGGATGAATATGAATATATCTTTAAAATAAGTTTAGTTTGAATGTATCGATAATTTACAATAACCAATTTATCTCAGTGGTTAAATGAATCGTTATTGTTCTTAAAGTTATGGGTTCGAGCACTAGTAACCGTTGCAAGGTGATTGAGTGTTCATTGTCAAATGATCAATAGTATTCAAAACTTATATTATTTTGTAATCGAAAATTTGAGTATGGTTTAATGTTTGAAAAATAGAAAGAAAGAAAAAAGAATGAGAGGTTAGGCCTTTGCTCTTCTTTGGTAGATTAGTTAGCAAATATCATGTCTCCCATTGTTTCCATGGATTGTGTCACGTTAGGCCACCAACCAAGAGTTCATCAATGATTAATAATAGGGTAAAGTACATCAAATATAACTTTAGCTGTTGTATTGTTTATATCACTGAACTTTTAATTTTGTCAATTATAGCACTAAATTTTGATTGTTTCAATTATACCACTGAATTATTAAATCGTCAAAGGCATGATGATGTGGCTGATGGCTGTCGATGTAGACACCTCACTGAAACGACGTCATTTTTATTCGAATGTTAACGATTTAATGACCCAGTGGTATATTTAAAACGAAAATTAAAGTTCAGTGTTATAATTGACAAAATTGAAAATCAAGCGGTATAAATGATACAATGCCTAAAGTTCGGTGATGTCTGGATGATAGGATAAACTATACAATTAGTCATTAAATTTTAGATTTTGTATTGATTTTACCACTTAACTTTAATATGTTTCAGTGTAAGTTTTTAATTTTGATTTTGGATTCTATTAGATCTTTGGGATGAGTTAATCATTCCTTCCCTTTTTTTTGTTGGTAGTAAATCGTCAATTCCTTTGACTAATAACTACCCGTACGACATGATCAGTATTAAATCGTTCGTATTTTATTACTTTTTCTTTTATTCAGGTTGGGTTTTTTCATGATATTCACTCAAAATTGATGAAGATACATCTAAAGATTTAACGTAATAATGCTCTCATCTCTTCTGATTATAAATGAATGAGTTTTTTTTTAATAAAATATGTATAGTATGGATAAGGTATTTGATCATATGTTTTCTTTGGCCTCTTTCTTAACTTTCATGCTAAAGTCCTATTTTAACAAAATTTTCTTTTTTCTTTTATTGTTTGTGTAGCTAATAATGGATTAAAAGAAACTTCGGAACTTCCCTTGTTAGATTGTTTTTATGCAAAATGCAATGAACCTTGTGTTTTTGGCTGCTATTCCCACTGTCTTTGTACTATGTTAGGTTATTGTCGTTCCTCACGGATAGACTTACGAGAGTGGGTAGTGGCTGTTTCCCCTTAAAAATTTAAAATTACTATATGTTTTAATTTTTTTTATGTATTTTTTACTAAAAAACTTTTTTTGTCCCCTAAAATTTTATAAGTTCAAGTTCACCATTTAAAATTTTATAAATTCAAGTTCACTCATCAACTTAAAATATTGCTCTCGTCCTTGCCTAAATTAAAAGACTTTATTCAACCTCTTGTATTCCCATGACTCACTATGCCCAAAAAAAATGAAATTAATATGTTAATATTTTAATTTTATTGGACGAATGTTTTACCAATTAAAATTCATGATTTATTGTGGTTTGGTGCTGATAAAGAGTTGTATGTTTTGCTCCTGAAAAAAAGAATATGTCCTAGATGCCATGTGATATATATCCAATTTAATAAAAAAAAGGCTTTGATTCGTAATTATTATGAAAATATTAATTTTAAATATTGATATAATTATGTAATTTGAGACTAATTTAATGAAAATGGTCGGATATTAAAATGATTATTTGTATAAAATATATTTCATTTTAAAATATAATAGGTTTTGTACGTTTAATTTAGGTTATGTTAATATTGATCGATCTAAAGTGAGATTAATAATTCATAAAATTATATGTACAAATGTGTTAATAAACAAATGCATTTTTTTCAATTTGACATATGAGCAATAAATGGCATCAAACAAAGAATAGTAATTAACAACAAAGTTACATGTGCAATTGTGATAAATAGGGTTGTAAATGAGACGAGACAGATCGTGAGCTATTCGAGATCGACTCGATCAAGGCTCGATAAATACTCGGATCGAATGGACTCGACTCGAGCTCGAGCTCGACTCGAGTTCTTAACGAGCTGAAACGAGCTACTCGATATTCGACTCGAAAAGCTCGTGAGCAGCTCGAAAATATAATATATTAATATTTTCTTTTAAAAAAATAAATTAATATTAATATTAATATTTATGTATTGTTTTTTTTAAATACAGTAAGATTTCATGTATTTAAGGTTCATGTTCGAGTTTGAGGCTTTAATCGAGTTAAGTTTAAGATTTTTTTTTTCATTTTGAGCCTTTTCGAGCTGCTCACGAGCTTCAGTTCAGGATTTCGAGTTCGAGTCGAGCTTGAAAATTTTAAGCTCGCGAGTTTTCGAGTCGAGTCGAGCTTGAAAATTTTAAGCTCGCGAGTTTTCGAGTCGAGTCGAGCTTTATTTCAGAGTTTTCGAGTCGAGTCAAGCTCAGCAATACTCGAGCTCGACTCGGCTCGTTTACACCCCTAGTGATAATAAACATGCTATGGTTATTCGATTATACATATTAACAATAAATGAACCCAAGTAAAATTTCTTATTTAATATGTTCTTATCATCCGTGTTTGATTATTATATCAAAATATCACTTATAAAATAATATTTTATCTCTCCTTAAATTATATAAAGTCAATGTTCTTATTATGATAATATTAACGAGACGATTTATATGGCATGATAAAAAAAATTGTGTCTGATGATACAAAGTCAATGATATACAAATTAAGAAAATTCATCTTTTGTTAATGAAAATGAAATTTTCGTTAATTGTTATTCTTTTTAGTTTTGAGATTAATTTGGTTGATGATGATAAATGCAAAAAGTCGAGTAGGGATAAATTATATGATATTTATTCAGTTAAAAAGACAAATTTAATCTTGATAAGTATCTCAAAAATAAATTTAAAATTACAAAATACAAAAAATATATATACTTATAATGGGAGCCGAACACATGCTCAAATTTATATTTATGTACGATAGGTGATTACAATTTATAAGATAATATTTATCATTTTCTAATTATATGTTGAAATTTAAAATGATTTACAAACGTGACATATACAATAACATTTATAATATTAGTTATTATATGTATTTAAAGCGTGATTATGATTAATTAATTAATAACTTTTCATCTAAAACTGATGATACAAAAAATTAACAATTGAAAAAACGTAAGAATAAAGACCAAATTTAAGAACATAAAAAACGCAAGAAAAAGTCAAAAAATATGATACCATCCGCTAACAATATAATAAACAGAATTCACAACATTTTCATACGTACAAGCTGAGCATTGTTTCCTGATTTCTGATCAATGGCCGAACCGAAGGTAATCACGGTGTGCCAAGACGGCAACGCCGACCACAAAACTGTACAAGAAGCCATAGACGCCGTTCCACTCAACAGCACCACTCGAACAATCATTCGAATCTCACCCGGTGCTTACAAGCAACCCGTTTTCATTCCCAAGGAAAAGAACCTCATCACCTTGGTCGGTGTCCGACCAGAGGACACTATTCTCACGCGGGACAACACGGCTACTAAAACCGAGCATCACCTGGTAGACTACTTCCGACCGTAATGAATTTCATGTAAGATCGTTATATTTGACATTATCTTCTAACATAATATAAGACTTGCTTTTGTTCTTCCTTGTCTGATGACTGTTAATTGGCTAACTTTTTTTCTTTTTTCTTTTTTCTTTTTTCAAGGATGAGAGTGATCGGAAAAGGCACATTTGCTTCCGGGAGTGCGATGGTGGTAGGAGACGATTTCATTTCTGAAAATGTCTCTTTTGAGAATAGTGCTCCAGAGGTAAAATCTTAAATTTCTCCTTTCTTTTTCATGCTTATTTTCGAATTACGTATGTTAAACACTCGTATTGGACACATGAATATGAGACATAATTGGTATTTGATTACTCTTTTTTCTTTCTTCCAGGGTTCACACCAAGCTGTTGCAGTCAGGGTGACAGGAGATAGGTGTGCATTCTATAGTGCAGATTTCTGGGGTGACAGGTACTTAATTAGCTATTCGTTCGATCATTCGAATCCGAGTATCCGACACTCTCGTCCGAGTCCAAATAACATAGCATTTCAATGGTTCATGACTAACATAACATTTGCAGGACACTCTCTACCTGCACAAGAGAAGGCACTTCGTGAGAGATTTCTATATCGAAGGAAACGTGGACTACATTTTCGGAGCTAGTACAGCTCTCTTCGAGCATTGTCATCACCACTGCAAGTCACCTGGTTTCGTAACCGCGCACAAACGCAATACCGCCAAGGAAACGGCCGCTTATGTGTTCCGAGGTCCGCAATCCTTAGACAACCCGATCCGATTACAACGTTTACTTCCATGATCATTTGCAGTTCTTCCTGTGAACAACTTGTGACATTGTTGCAGATGCGTCATAACCGGCAAAGGAGAGCCAGGGTACGCGGCGTCCATGGGACCCTTTGCAAGGGTGCTCTTTGCATTCACTTTCATTGATAAATGCATCAAAACCGAAGGTTGGAATAACCGGGAAGATTCAGAAAAGGAGAAGACTGTTTGCTTCTACGAGTTCAGGTATATCCCCAGGATCGATAAATTACGAGTTTATTCGAAGGATCAACCGAGAATCTAAACGATTCATACCGAGGTGTTTTCCTTGATTGAAACTGCAGATGTTTCGGACCGGGTGCGCATCGAAACGAACGAGTGGCCTGGTCGAAAGAACTGAACAACGAAGAAGCAGAAGTG